TCCTGCAGGTGGCTGGCGCAGGCGGCGTAGACAGGCTGGTCCAGGCGGCCGCTGATGCTGTAGTACCGCTCCATCAGCGCCCGGTCCTGCTCCGCGTCGCAGCAGCCGAAGTCCGAGTACTGCACGCAGAAGTCGAGCGGCTGCGGCGGCCTGAAGGGCGGCTTGAAGTCCAGGCACTGCGGGTGCGGCCGCACCTGGCCTAGCCCGGTCAGCAGCAGCAGCGCCAGGAGCGGGGGCCGCTGCCCCGGCCTGGCCCAGCCGGGACCCGGCGCCGCTTTGCCATGTGCCATGCTGGGCGCTGGGCTCTGTGCGGCGGAGAGCCTGGCCCCCGCCGGCCCACACGCCCCTCCAGGGCGGGCTCGGGTTATGCAATCCCCGGGCCGCCCCTTTGGCTGCGCCTCGCCCGGCCGCTCCCACCCCTCCGGCGCTGGGGGCAGCCTGGCCGCACCGGAACCCAGCTGGCCAGCACAGGCGAGTCCCCGGCCGCCGGGGCGAGAGCTGGCCGGTCCCGCTCTCTGCTGCTAACGGTTCCCTAGGGCCGGGGGCCCCGGAGTCAGGCTGAAGCGCCGCCCCGGCTCTGGGCAGAGCCCAGAGCAGCTGCAGGGAAGGAAGCGCATGTGGAAGAAGCAACTTTGGCAAAGAAATTCTGGGCTGCGGCTCGGCGGGGGGGTGGGGGGTAGCGCCACATAGCTCAGGGCTGTGAGCAGTTCACCCCCCATCCCCTGGCGACACATAAAACCCCACAGTGACATAGGTGCTGCTGTGGCACTTCAGATACTACAGCCACCGGAGGGGTTCTCCCAACTCCACCTCCACAATTGGCCATGGCTAGAAATTAGAATTCACTCTAGCGGACACTGTCTACACCAGGGACTCAGTCAGTTTAGGAGGATTTGGGGGGATTTTTCACACCCCTGTGGCACAGAGTTGGGTCAATCTGATTTTTTGGTATTGTCCAGCCCTAAGAGACCTATTTAGGTCAACTTAACCCCCAGTGTAGACACCACTAGGTGGATGGAAGAATTCTAGCTACTGCCTCTGGGAGAGGGGGGAAAGGAGAGCTCAGTGGTTTGAGCATTGGCCTGCTAAATCCAGGGTTGTGAGCTCAATCCTTGAGGGGGCCATTTAGGGATCTGGGGCAAAAATCTGTCTGATTTAGTTGGGGATTGGTCCTGCTTTGAGCAGGGGGTTGGACTAAATGACCTCCTGAGGTCCCTTCCAACCCTGATAGCCTATGATTCTATGATTAACTACAGCAACGGAATCTCCCAGAATCGGCCTCAATCTCCCGGAACAATCTGGGAGATTTTAATAGGCCAAAAGTCCAGTTGGTAGCGCAGTGGGGCTAAGGTAGGCCCTGAAGCAGCTGGCATGTCCCTGCAGACTCTAGACACGGGCAATTAGGGAGGCTCTGTGTGCTGCCCCCACTCAGAGCGCTGGCTCTGCAGCTCCCATTGGCCAGGAACCGCTCTGGCCGCCAGGGAGAGCGGAGCCGCGGTGGGCTCGCTGCCCTGCCGCCGGGGAGAGCGGAGCCCCAGCCGGGCTCTCCGCCCTCCTCCCGGGGCTCCGGCCGCCAGCAGAGCCACGGCAGGCTCGCCGCCCTCCCCCCGGCGCTCCGACCGGTCAGGAAGAGCGGGCCCGCGGCCGGGCTCGGCGCCCTCCCCTGCCGCACTGGGGGGGGGGGCAGCGGGAGGCTTTTTTGCCTGGGGCGGCAAAAAAGCCAGAGCCGGCCCTGGCTACAGACATGCTGCTGTAGTGTTTCAAGTGTAGACAAGCCAAAAGTGACTTAGGAGACTAGTTCAGAAGTGATGTAGGCATGTGAGCCAAGGCCTATAGCACTTTTCAGAATGGGACTCATCCTCTTAAGTCACTTCAGAGCTGCTGAAAGTTTTGCCCACTGTCCAGAGTTGGTGAGGGGTGTCATTTCAGAAAAATTATTGGAGAAGCGAAAAGTTTTGTCACATATAGAACATTAAATTTGTTATATTATGTCCTGCAAAGTTGGGTTGGGGGGAGAGCATGGGGGAAAAGTGATAGACATCCATCATAGAGCATATAGAGGTATAATGGACCATATAGACTAATGGTTCTCAAACTTCTTTTTCTACAGACCACTTGAAAATTGCTGAGGGTCTCGGTGGACCACATAATGATCTTTCCAAATGTTGTTTGTACCATTAGCTAACTGTTGTGAAGCGCTTTGGATAAAAGTGCTATATAAAAAAACCCTTAATAATAATTAACTTTTCTGTTCTATAAATAAAAGCACAACTCATATTTTAATATCAGTAGTCTTACCTTTCTAATGCGATGGATGTGCCCTCTCTCCCACCCTGCAGCAGCCCCTGAGCTGGGGCAAGGAAGGAGTGGGGCCTCTCCCCTGCCACAGCAGCCACAGAGCTGAGGCTGGGAAGGTGGGCCGTCTCTCCCTGGCAACTGCAGCCCTGGAGCTGGGGAAAGTCGCCTCATTCTCTGGCCGCCGCAGCCCCGCAAGTCCCAAATTCCCCCCACCCCCTCTTCTCATCCCACTGCCCCCTCCCACCTATCCCCTATTCCCCCCAAGGCCACCACCTCACCTTACACATGCATCTTCTCCAGGATCCATGCACCTAATTAGTGGAGCCATGCCTGCGTGGCTCCACTAATTAGATGGGTGGCCCTTCATTCTCTTGTATGTGGACCTTAGAGGGAACTATCCGTGGACCACCAGGCATGCACCTTAGAGGGAACTATCTGTGGACCACCTGAATGGAGCTTGGACCACAGTTTGAGAACCTCTGATATAGACTTTTGAAAAGTCTGGGGTGGAGGGCAATTGCCCCCCTTGCTGCATAGTAAATGGTGCCCCTGGAGCTGGTGGGAACGTTTTTACTGAAACATTTTTTTCAGTGAATAATGGCTTTTGGGCCAAAACAAAAAGTTTCATTTTAGTTTGAAATTTTCCATACACATTTTTCAGTAAACTTTTTTCAGTTAAAATTTTTGGTTTTCAAAAGCAGGAAAATTGTTTGAGTTTTTTAATTGAAAAACCAAAAACATGTTTGTGGGAAATCTTAAAAAGTACTTTTTCCTGAAATTTCCCATTAAAAATAATGGGTATTTTTCAATCAGCTCTACTATAGACCAAACAGAGAGAGAGAGAACAACTTCCAAAAATGAAGGGCAGGAAAATTTTGGAAGCACTGTATCTTTAAAACCCTCATGGGATTCTTCTCAATTTGATCCAACAAATTTTCCCCTTAGCTGTAACATGAGAAATTCTAGGAAGACTGGTTTGATTTTTGGTAAAGATAGCGGTGGGGTTTTGAAAATTGGGCTTATAATGGGAAGCTATGTGCAACCTTCACTTTGAGGGGACTGGGGCCCTTCGTAAGAACCATTCAGAAGATGTGATTTGAATAGACAATGTACAGTGGAAATAATTATATATATGTATTTACAGTATAATGAACATTTTGGAAAAGTGATGGAAAGTCTTGAGTCTGGTTCCAGCTTTACTGCAGCCTGCTAACTACATACACATACAGTGTAAAGATAATAGTATTGTGTTGCTTTAGATTGAAATTGATAAGAAATATACAAATTTTAAATGGAAATTAGGGCACTTTTCTACAAAATTGCATCAGGACTGCCAAACTGATACCATAGTTAAACAGCCCATTGTGAGTGCCCATCTTGATTCCAAATCTTTAAGTTAATATATTTCCTTAACATTTTCTAATGTAAACAGTTGTCTAAAGTGCATAGTTGCATTATAATTTATTTGGTCAACTATTTAAACTGGTGAAGGTGAGTTTTTTATTATGTTAGTAATATAAAACTTCAGTCACAAAAAGAATAAATCAGAGTAATATTGTAATTTGGAAAGAAGTTATTTGGATTATGACTTCAGCTTCACTCGGTGTAGTCAGCGAAGACTCAGAGTGAACAATATATAATAATAATTAGCATTGATGTGACTTGCTTACAGGCCATGTTAAGAGTGAGACATATTTAGAAGCAAGAAAATTCAGGATCAATGCAGCTAGTGTTTTTACTGTAACTAACTTCTACATTCTTTGGTATTATAAGGTCAGACTCTGATCTGGCCTAGCTTTGTGCAGCGCTAGATGCTGCTGAGATGGTGCTCAAGGTGCCTTTTACACCGTATGTTTGTGGCTCCCACATACAGGGACCAGCCATTGAATGGTTTGGACCCTGCCTGAAGACTGCTCTAACTTAGCATGCCTATCTGTGGTCCAAAGTGCTTTTTCTGACAGCCAGGGATAGCACCTTTGACATGCTCTTTCTCCTGATGATTCTGCACCACGGGTGAGGTTCCAGCTGTCTGCTACCCAGGGATTCCCCATATGCAAGGGAATCCAAAGGTAGCTAGTTATATCAGCTTTCAAGCAGTTTTGCACCACCATTGTGAGAAAAAGATTCTGAGCCATAGCGTCCAGTCTCACACTTCCCACCTATAGGCATTTGATATGTAGTATTTGGAAATATTTACTTCAGAGATTGGGTTAAGTACCATATTTAGATGGCAATTTTTTGTACATCATACTTAATGTCATATTGTTTGTATAAAGCCCCCAAGGTGCATTGTAATTTTAGCTGTTAAATACTATTATCCACATTTCAGTGTGATAAGTTAATATTAAAATCTAGAAAATACATAAAAACAAAATAATTTGGAGATAAGCTGCCATGCTATTTTTAACTCCCACTTTGATACCAAAGTATTGCTGTATAGTGCATACGGAGTATAAGATCGCTGCTTGGTTTGAGAGACCCTGTCAGAAGACCATATGCACTACAGCATTTAATAAGAGATTTTTTTTTCTTCTCCATATGCGTGTGTAACTATTGCTAAGGCCAATGAGAGCTATGCATATGTGTGGACAACAAGAATGTGTGGTAGTCTTAACTCAGAATTCTCTTGCTGTTGTGCATTTATGTTTGTGTTGTAAAGACAAATTTTCATCCATGACAAACACAAACATGCCATCTCATCCATCACACTTGCAAAACCTTTTATTGGCGTGTATAAATGGGTAATTAGGTATGCAATTATCCAGTCCCAGGTTTTGGAAGCACAACTGGTTTGCATCCATTTTTTCCTTTTTGTGGTTAAAAATTGGGTTCGTGTTTCAGATTTTAATAGCTCTTTAAAAAACAGATTAGTTACTGTTGTAATGTAAATTAGTACAATAAAAACACTTAATATGCAAAGAAAGGGTTGCAGTAACAAAGCTTACTGTATAGTAACAAGATTTATGACAGCACATGGCTTATTATGGCCGCTATGCAACATACCGAACGTGTAACGAAAATGAAATGCGGTGCATAGTCAGCAACTAATTTCCAAATGTAAGTATTTTGGATGTTTGTTCAGCATTCCAAAATGGCATAATGTGGATTAGGGAAGAGCTCCGTTCTGAATTATTTATTTTTAAATGAAGACATTTTGGTTTAATGGAAACGTGGTCTAATAGATAAACCACAGGACTTGGAGTCAACATATCTAGGTTTTATTGGCAGTCCTGCTGTAGCCTTTTGTGTGACTGTAACCAAGTGGCCACTTTTGAATGGGTTAAAAAAAAATTACAGTTCAGTGGGCAGATGGAATATTGGCCCACATTCACAG